GTCGTAGCAAGACATCTCGCAGGGATGGAAGTCAGTCTGTAAAACTTTATTATAAGTTATAAAACATCATTTATGTTAACATTAAAGGAATATAAGCATTAGGTTATGATGAAGCAGTCCAATAGGGTATCAGTAATAAACCTGGGAAGTAAGCATATTTTCTGTTACTATTCTTCCTAGCACTGTAATCCAGAGGCTAGTTTTGACTTTAGTATGACAAAGTCATGTACTTTTCTGTTGTATCCTTGGTATTGCCAGATGAGCTATTTTGATAGTGTTACATTACTACTAGTTGATCGTTTCTTCTTAATAAGTTTGACCTTTCCTGTTATAAACTCAACAGAACTCTGCTAAATGCAGCCATATACAACCATGTATATGAATTATTCTTTATCTCTTAAAACAGTCCAAGAATTCTTTGGACTGCTAAAATCTTGCAAGTTTGAGATTCAAAACTGCTTGATGTACCCCTCTTCTGGAGCCTGTCTTTACAGGGCCTGGTAACAAATGAGAAACCAAACATTATTTCCAGCAGCAATATTCTACAAATCACTGACAGCCCAGCAGTAACTGAAGAGGACTTGTCCTAAGTTAATATCAAGGGTTCTTGACAGTAAGTTAAGTTTAGTGAAGTTTGAGAGAAATCTGACTTATCCAATTGAAGAAGGCGAGTAAAGTGAGAGAAGTGGACAGAAAGACTTAATGCAGAGAGCTTTTATACAGCTCTGTCGATTGCCTGGAGGATGTTTGGCATCCTATACGTGAGTTCATAATTAGGTACCAACCCCAAATTGTAGGACACGTAGTTTCTCAAAGTGCTGAAATTGTTTTTTGCTTATTGCTTGTGTGTTGCAGGTACTTCAAACTCACACTTAGCGTGACATCCACACTCCACCACAGACCTACCTATTATCTCCAGGCTTTATGTGTGGAAATATTTTTTTCTTATTCCATTGCTGTCTTTAGCATTAGGGGAGGAAATAAGCTGACGATTTATTTAAGAGTCCTGCGTAATCAGGATGACAGGACAGTCATTTCTTTTGTCCAGTTACAAATTTTTTAGCATAATCAATGATATACCTGGAGACAAAATGGAATTTCTTTTAGAATCTCAAAAGAAGGCTGGAGACAAATAACAAGGGTAAAGAGTAAAAA